TATGCCATTCAGTGTGTTTTTTGGATTAATTGATCTATCTCCATCAACAAATCTTTCAACTCGATCTAAAGCTCTTCCAATATTTCTTAAGATATCTGGTAATGCCATTGGTGTACTATTTATTTGGGATAATTTTTTATCTGTAATCTCCCTAATTCGCTTCTTAAGCTGATCAACCTTGTCTTCTAACCTTAAAATATGGATATCTTGAGCAGTGCTAGCATCACCTTTATGTCTTAAATCCTGCAATGCTTTGTGAAGACGCTGTTTAAGGGATTTTATCTCAGTCTTAAGAGATTCTATCTCATCTTCATGGGCTAGTATTGTTGAATCCTGCTGAGATATTGTATTATAACAGTTTTCTAGCTCCCTAGAAAGCGATTTTAGCTTTTTATTCTTAAGTTTGCTTTCGGTTATTTCATCCTCCAATTCTTTGCGCAACTCTTTATTAGTATTTAGGATTTCGATATATGCTAGATCCATGCTGATTCCTATAATACAGATAGATTCGGATGAAGCTCGAAATGTAAATGTGTCTTCAGCTTTACGCAAAATTTATTATCAACCTTCGGGCTATCATAGAACTGCAAAAAAATTACACGAAGCCTCTAAACAGGTTGGGTATGATTTTTCACTTGATGAAGTATGTGACTGGCTTGAAAGACAGGCAGTACATCAGATTCATAAACCTCGTCCTAGATTTATTCAGTATGCTTCCTTTAATAATATACAATTTTTAAATGAAGTACACCAATCTGATACTACCCCTATGCCTCATGATAAAGTAGGTAATCGGATTTATAAGTATAGGGGTGTTATTAAAGATGTTGCAACTAGATATCGTCGTAGTTTTGCGTTGACTGATAAATCTTCTGCACAAATGGCTAAGAATATTCAAAAAATTTATAATGATCCTAAGGAGCCTCTCTCTTGGCCGAATTGTTTTATTTCTGATAAAGGGACGGAATATATGGGGGATTGTAAGGGTTTATTGCTTAAACACGGTGTAAAAATACAATATGCTAAAACTAAAGAAGGTAATGCTATAGCTGAACGTGATCATCAGGAATTTGAAAAGTCTGCTTATATTCAGCAAGATGCTAAAGATTTTCTGCTACCTTTATCGGAACGTTCTAGAGATTGGGTTAAGAACCTTCGTGCTAATGATGATATATTTAATAATACCCCTACTCGACTAATAGATATATCTCCTAATGAAGCGGTAGAAAGAGCACTAAATGGGGAGAAGATATTTGCTAAGCCAGCCGTAAAACACAGAAGACCTATTGGATATGACGAACCTTGTTTATCCTATTATGACTTAGTGAGATATCTTCTTAAACCAGGAGAGTTAGAACATGGTCCTGCTAGAAGACGTGCTACTGATATGAATTGGTCTCCTCAGGTTTATCGTATTCGCGAATCTTTAGTACAAAAAAATCAGCCGGTCTTATATTGGCTAATAGATGATGAGGGCAATGACCCGAAAAGATCCTTTGTAAGAGAGGAATTAATGGTTATTCCTGATACTAAGTTACCACCCCAGTGGGTACTTGTGAATTAATTTTATTCTTTTGACACAGAATTGCCTCCCTATTAGGTCTTATTAAATTAATGACAAGAAGTCTTCTACTTCTTCGTCAGCTTGTGCTTTGGTATTAAAATATTCCTTGGCTAATCTATAGTAAAGTTTATATAGCTCCATAATTGTATTAAGAATTTCTGGATCTTTGCCATACCAATCTTTGTATTCACTTATAATTTTATTATATTTGTTTTCATTGGGGAATATTGTTTGAGCTAATTTTAATACATATTCTTCGGGGTCTTCTGCCTGACGCAATTTTACGATTCGCTCTTTATAACTTTGCATGAATTTACCTTCTTTTGGCCTTCTATA